AATGACATTGTTCTTGACATTAATCACAAGCTCGCAGGTCTGCTCCCACCTAAAGCTGAGCACCACAGGCAGCTGCGCAGCAATAGGAAGTTTAACGTGCCAGTGTGCAAGACTGATCGTCTTAAAAAATCTTTTGTTGTCAGCCATAGCCTAAGGATGTAAATATATATGTTTAAGTATGTATATTTTCTTAACACAAGATCATCCTAAGTGAAACGTTTTTATTAGATTTGTATATTTTTATTATTAAAATTTTCAAACTATTTTAACTATGAATTTTGTTTCCTGTATATTATAGACGTAATTCAGTCTTCGGACTGCGAGGTGTTTCTTTTTAATAAACGATTTATCTATCTATCTGAATCATCATTTCATAGAACACCTCAAGATTGGTTGCTTCAAAATTTTCTTCAGTGTTGGAAGAAAACGATGGATTCAAGTGTTCAATCTCACCGGTGTTGTGGTCTGTTTTCATCATTTGACATTTCAAGACAAACTTGAATCTGATCTGACGACGCTTTTCCAAGAATGTCAGCAACGTTTGCTCAATAGCTGAAAGAAACTCAATCGGGTCATAACCCACTACTTGTTCACGACCGATTGTGTACTCAACAGAAAACTTTTTCAACGCTGACTTGCCTTCAATCAATTCAAATCGATTCTGTTCTTTTTGATGAAGCTGCTTTGGATTAATTTATTCAATTCAGTCTCAGAAGAATTCCTCTTCGCTGTCAAATCTCTCTTGACTTTATTATATTTTCCTCTGCGCGAGTTGTGTGACTTTTTGTTCAATTTTTGTATTTTTTTCTTTAGACGTTTGACTTGCCTCTCTTTCATCTGCTTTTCATCGACTCGTGCGTGAAAGGGAGCTTTTGAAAATTCAAAATTTTTATTCTCTCGCTTTTCTCGGCGAGATTGCTTTGGTTTTGCTTGGTAGGGTTGAATAATCGGTTGTTTTCTGACAACCACTGGAGATGGTGGTTTCATCGGAAGTTCTTCATCGATAAAAGTGATAACTGGTTTACTCTTTGAATGTTTCTGAAAGAAGTTGATGAGTTCAGATTTTCTCAACTTCCAGAATCTTTTCAGATTTTTTTCTTTTGCGATTTGACGAAGTTGAGCAACAGTTTTTTTGTCCATTCTGCTTTGTCTGATTTTTTTCATTTCTTTAAGACATTTTTTAACCTTTTTTCAATTTTTCAAAGACAGATTTTTGTGACCCGTCACAGGTCACAAAAAACACAAATCAAACACTCTCCATTTCTCTCTTTTGGATCAAACTTTCAATTTCTTCTTTGATCATTTCGATCGATTGTTCAGCACTCAAAATAAGAGTGTATAAGTCGTCCATTCTTTTCGAATATATTTTGTATTCTCTGATTGAAGGGTGATACCTTTTGACTTGACTTTTGAAATAATCCAGTCTTTGGTGATGAATTTTTTCAACATTGATCAACTGATCATTCAGAACATTAAGATTTTCGGAACTCATTTTTGTTTCTGATTTTTCATTTTTTTAAGACATTTTTTTAACCTTCATCGGAAGATTGTTTAACTGGACTTTCTCTCTTTGTGGTCTGAAAGATTCGAATTTTATCTCGTATTTTTTTCCATCAATATAAATCGAGTTTCTTGTTTCTTCGTTTTTTGAAGCCAATTTCCATCCGAATCTCCCTGGGTTTACATTGAAGAAACTGGTTGTAGCACTTATAGATGGAAAAACAAATTCGTCTTCGTCTGAGTCAACAAGACGCATGTGACCTTTCTTCTCAAACCATTGAACCGTCCACAAGGTTGTAACTCAACAGGTGGTGCATTTTTTATCAAATCAATCAAATCTTTTTTGGTCAGCTTTAAATATCCTCGGAGTTTCATCTCTTTTGCTTTTTCCAACGATTCGTATTTTGATAATTTTTCAAGTTCAACCATTTTATTGACCACCAATATTTTTAAGATGTTTTTTGCGTTGTGAGTTCTTTCAAATCTTTCAGATCAACCCATGAATTGAATTTTTCTGGATAACCACTCCATTTCACAAGCGCTTTACCTTTACTCCGTCGAATCACTTTTTCAATACGGAATACATCTTGAACTGCTTTCAACATTTCTTGTTCATAAAAGGAACCCTTGATCTCTTCACCACTCAAATCTTTCAACTTATAGGTGATCGGGTCTGTATATTGAATCTTATCAACGACGAAAATCTCTTCTGTCCAATTCGGAGTGTATCTTTTGTCAAAGACTTTTCTATTGTATTTCGAGATACGAACGTGATCACCAATTTCAAATTTCGGTGTGGCCATGTGTGGCACACTCTCACAATAAAGTTTCAAATAAACGTCGCTCTCATTCTTTTTCTTTGACGCTTCAACAGGTGTCATGCCAATACTTCTGTGTTTTGTATTGTTGTACTTTTCAACAATCTTCGGCAGAATATCAAGGTACTCCGTGTTGTTTTGAATTGTGAATTGTTTCCACATTTTTGTTTTGATCGTTCGATTCCATCTTTCACAAACAGATGAGTTTTCTTCATTTTCAGTCGAGTAGATTTCAACACCTTTTGACTTCATCAAATTTTTCACGTCTTTGTTGTAATATTTAGAACCCTTGTCAACCCATAAAAACTTTGGTTTCCGTCTTTCAGAAAATATTTTTTAAATCCTTCAGCCACACTCTCTCCCTTTTTATTTTTCAACGGCACAATCCATCCATATTTGCTGAACACATCCAAAACCATGAGCAGATACCGATAACCCTTATTCCACTTGCTGAATTTCTGCATTTCAACGAGATCAGAACAACATATGTCGTCGATGTGGTTCTGTGTATTTATGACCTGGAAGAGTCCATCCACTTCGAGGTCTTGGTAATTTACCAATCATTTTGCGAATGTCGATTCCATAACCGGTGTAAAGCGGATTTGTTGGGTCATTAACCCCACCAGGAGCATACATTTCCATCGGCTACCACTGTGAATAATCAATGGGTGCTATTGTCCCTCCACTTAACTTTTTACTCAAAACATTTGCAAAACTATCAAGAACCTGGTCAAGATATTTACTTGCTGTCTGTTTGATTTTGTTCTTGACAAAGTGTGATTTGACAGCTTTAGCAGCACCTTGACGAGCAAGATAAACCCCACTGTTTGCTAATCCTTTCAAAGCCGCTTCACCAATTGAATGGCTATTTCCTACATCAAATAATGCTCCTCCATCTTTTATTTGTGAGCTTTTTTTTTACCACTATCGCTACCACCGGTTTCTTTCTCAAACTTTGACTTTGTAGTGCCACACTCAGAACATTTGCATTTTATCATCAATGGTCCATTCTTTGCACGTTCATATCTTTCACTTCCGCTGACACACTCAGTTTGTTTTTTCTGTTTCACACAATACGATTCCATTTTACTATTATAGTTTATATTTTTTCATCGAAATTTTTCTTAACCGTTTTCTTCTCTTTGTCAAGGAATAAAAATTCATATGGTCCAAGTTTTAAAAATAAATTTGGGTCGATCATGTTATGTTTACCAATAAGATTACAATGGTTCTTTGTTGGAGGAGTGTAAAGTATCATATGTGAGCAGTTCAACCTGATTTTTTGTGGTGTGTCATAATACGACTGAGTCTGATAGATCGGTGAAATTTGGTGATGTCGCCCATCGGTAAAATGGTTTGCAATCTTAGATTGTATTTTTGCGGGTGCATTGACGAGATCGTCAAAGATGACAACCTTTCTATTTCCCGTCGGATACTCTGATGTATTCATGATATCATCCGGCTCCATAATTTCTAATATGTCGTAGCCGACTTTCTGTGAAATATTATCCATAAACTTTTCTAAATCCTGTATTTTATCTTGGTGAGGGTTGGGTGTATACAGATATATTTTATCGTAGACAACCAAAGGCAGTATCAACATATTCATAACAGTGTTTGTCTTTCCACTCCCACTCGCCCCTGCTGTAAGCATTCTGTAGTCTTTGTTCAAAAAATCATTCAATCTTCGTTTAGGTTTTTCATTCACATGAGTATGAAAATTGATAAATTTCACCATTTATTATTATCTTTCATTTTATTCACCTCGAGAAAAGCTAAAAAGCTAAAAAGCTAGAAAGCTAGGAAGCTAGGAAGCTAAAAAGCTAGGAAGCCAAAAAGCTGAAAAGCTAAAAAGCTAAAAAGCTAGGAAGCTAAAAAATTACTTTAAGAAAATGAAAATCTAGATAAACACCATGCAACTTACAAGTCTTGAAAATCTCAACAAAGAAACTATAATTTTCCACGAAGCAGTGGTTAACCAACATAATCACGAAAGGATTAAACTCGAGGTGAAACAATCCACTGATGGTAAACCTGGTCCTTTAGTGATTGAAACCCCTTTTCTCTTCAGCTTCGGTGTACAAGAGAGAATGGATGGTGAAAAAAACGCTGTTGAAGGTTACTCTCTTCCTGTTTGTTTGTGGGGAACTGAAGGTGAACCAACACCAGAACAGCGAAGCTTTTATGATGGTTTAACACGTTTGCAAAATATCTGTCACGAATATCTCGAAGAAAATTTTGAAGCTGATGTGTCAGAAGCTTTAAGTAATATTCTGCATGAGAAAGAATCGAAATCTCCAATTCTATATGCCAACCTGATTTACTCCAAAAAGGTGAAAAAGATCGTTTCGCTTTTTAGATCAAAGGGTAACCCAAATGACAATCCGTTTGATTACATCAACCAATATTGCAAAGTGAGAATGGCATTGATTATTCAATCAATTTACATAAGCGATACTAGCGTCTCAATTCAAATAAAAGTGAATGTCGGAAACATGGAGACGCCCTCACGCGAGAACAATTTCTTTACCTGTGAAACCAGATATTTCGTTTTGTTTGTACAGTGACAGTTGATTGATTAAATTAGTGATTCTCATATTACCTAAATATAAAGAGGCGATTACACATTAGACACACAATAAACGAGTTGGAAATTACGCCTACGCTTGGTTTATGATATGGCGCCCAACGTGGGGCATTAATACCCTGAGAAACAAGACACGAAATGGCCGAAAAACTACCACGAACTCGCGCCAAACGAGGTGGAAATCGGACTGTTATGACAAAACTAATGAATGAAGCGGATGGTCTTCTCAAGGCTGAAACGAGTGACAAGAAACGCCTGAAGGCTATTGCTGCTTCTCTAGACGAAAAGTTAAATTTGGTAAAAACACTCCACGAAGAAATCATAGAGAATTGCGCGGTGGAAGAGGTCGAAGCCGAAATAGAAGAATCGGATGAAATCAATTCACGTGTAATTGATCTATTGCTAGTCATAAATGAAGCGACTGTTTCAATGGATAACAATGACGGACTTTCGGTTGTCCCAACAACGAATATCGACGATACTAAGCCCCCTGGTTCTCAACAATCGATTACGCTTTCTGGATCAAGTGGAACTTCGACTTTGGCTTCTAAAAATAATGTTCAACTCCAATCGCCCGGGAGTGCAGCTTATGGTGGATTTCATTCTTTTGACGTCGCTTCAACTTCCCACGCTGAGAACATGCAATCATCAGGAAATCCAGGTATGGGTTCTCATTCACATACTAACTTTGGCATGAACGCTAATTCAGTGGCTTATCAGCCTAGAGCAAAATTACCTAAACTAGTGTTACCGAAATTTAGAGGAGAAATTACGCAATGGCAAGGTTTCTGGGACAGCTTTAACAGCGCCATACACGCCAATCCTCATTTGAGTTTAATCGACAAATTTAATCACTTGCATTCACTGTTGGAGGGACAGGCAGCAAGAGCGATTCAAGGGCTAACTAGAACTGAGGCCAACTACAAGTCTGCCATCGAGATATTACACAAACGCTTCGGCAGAGTGCAGAACATAATATCGACTCATATGGATGAAATGCTTAAAATTCCAGCATGTACTAGCGATAAAGCGGCCCAACTTCGTCTCGTTTATGACAAAATCAGCATTAACATAAGAGGTTTGGAATCGTTGGGTGTAAGTTCTCACCAGTATGGGAGTTTATTGATTCCTGTGATCATGTCAAAGCTACCTCATGAAATTAGAATTCAAGTAGCTAGAAATACCGCGACGGAGGTGTGGGAGATGTCCGACCTGTTAGAAGTGATCCGTCAGGAAGTTGAGGCACGCGAGATTAGTGAAGGTGTGAAGACCAACGTGAGCCTTGAGAAACTCCACCCTAATCATCATAAAACGCCGACCACAAATGCGCTTTTGTCTCAAGATGGCAAACGATTTTCGTCTTCGGGAAATCAAATTAAATGCGTTTATTGTGGTGGATTACATTACTCTGCTTCATGTGAAAATGTGAGTGACCCTCTTGCTCGTTTCGAAATCCTGAGAAAGAGTCGAAGATGCTTCGTTTGTTTGAAACCTGATCACCATGGTGGCTCATGCAAAAGGAACTGTCGACGATGTCAGGGCCATCATCATCAGTCGATTTGCCGAAAATTTGTGCCAAAGAACCCCGATCACAGCCCCGATACGTCTGGTTTGAACGATCACAATTCAAGGGAAGGACAAAACTCGACTCTTGTGAGTCACACCAGAGAACCAATTACGATTGAAATAGACCACGCAACAAAACCTGAAGAAGGAAATGAAACTCCATCCTTGGGGAGCACTGTAACCGCAACGTCGACCGCGAGGGCCAAGGGGAGCATTTTGTTACAAACTGCTACCGCGATAGCTACAAACGAAGACCGATCCAAGTCCATTCCCGTACGAATTTTGTTCGACAATGGCAGCCAACGTTCATACGTCACCGACCACATCAAAGCGAAGCTGGGTAATTGACGTTGCAGG